CCACGACTTCGGAGATGCGGCCCAGAGAGCCGCCAGAGCCAAGGATAATGCTGCCGAGAAATTTGCCGGCATGAAGAAATACGCCGAGCACGAGACTTCTGATGCTCAGAAGGCTGCCGATCAGGCCATTCGTCAGGCCAGACAACATGCTGCTGATCTGAGAAATCAGCTCAAGGATAAGCTGAACAAGTGGAAAGTCGACACTATCAAGACCGCCACCGAAGCAGAGGAAGCGACCCAGCACCTGATCGACCACGCTCAGCAGAGAGTGAAGGATGTAAGAGAGGAGACTGCCGAGAAATTGAAGGATTTGGAGGATGAGGCTTCAAATGTCAGAAATGGAGCAAATCAGCAGATTGATGATATTTTCGAAGATGCAAAACAGAGAGCTATCGGTGTAATCATGGAAACCGCAGAGACAATGGCCCACCTGAAGGCAGCGGCCCAGAATATTATCATTGATGGTAACCAGGAAGCCCTGGATGCAGCGCTCAATGCCCAGAAGAAGGTCGGCGACCTTAAGGACTTTACCCAGGTTAACATGCAAGCATGGAGGAGAGATGCCGAAGGTATTGCTGCCGGAGCCAGGGATGACGCTCTACATGCGGTTGAGGATGCTGCCAAGAGGGCTGCTGATCTAAAGAACCAAACCGCGCAAAAATTGGCTGGATTGAAGGGCGAAGCACTGAAAATCGCTCAGCAAGCTATTCAAGTCATCTCACATGCATACGATGATGCCCTCAAGAGATTAGCCGATGTGGAAGCTCAAACTGCTGCCAGACTCGCTAACCTCCGATCGCAAGTTTCGGGAGCACCCGGACAAGCTAGCCAGGATGCCCTTCGTGCCCTGGCCGAAGCCGAAAGGAGAGCCGCTCAGCTCAAGGAAGACACTGCCAGGAAGCTGGCTGCCTGGAGAGCTGAGTCAGAACACCTGGCTGCTCAGGCAAAGGACGCTTCATCTAGTGTGCTAGAGGATGCCCGCAGACAAGCCGAAGAAATTTTGAGCCAAGCTAGAATGGTAAGCTTTTTTCGGACTTCCCCTACCGCAGCCTAGGACAAGCATCCTTTTTTCAGACTGCTGAACAGATCGTCGGTGATGCTGACGCACAGGCTAGAGCTGTAAAGATCGAAACCGAAAAGGTTTGTTTTGAGGACAACCGGGGCTTACCAAGGGGTCGAAAAATCTCATTTTCCAGGTCGCCCATGTCGTTGGTGACGCTCTCGAGAAGCAGGTTGCCGGTGTGCAGGACAAGGCTGGTGAACTGAAAGATGAAGCTGAAAAGGTATATTGCTTGGAATATTGATATCCATTTTTGGAGGGTAATTTGAATTTTTT